CGCCCCTCAGTTACTGTGGGTCCGACAAGGGGAAGAGTGCCGAAGAGTGGGCTTCTGCTCGTTAAAGGAAAACTTCTTTTATTTGGAAAGGAAAAAAAAAAAAAAGGCAGACGCGATCCTAATTGTTATTTCCGTCTCCTGCGATGTACGAGTGTACTTGGGGGTCACTTTCACGTTACTCCGCGGCTTGAACCCGGGGAACGACTTCGCTACCTGATACTGATTTAGGGGATGTGATGACTTCCAAAGGGGCCTGAAGGCTTCAGCAGTCACTTCTTTCAAATGGATGCGCTGAAAAAATAGGAGGGAGCGCTGCGAGGATTTCTGATGTTGAAGTGTACTCTGGTTTAAGTTAAGCTCCTGTTCGCTTTTTTTTTTTCCTTCCAAATCCAGCACTCCTATGGAAGACAACTCGTGCCCTTTATGCATCCATAAAGTGCTGAAGCACTCCTGTTGGAAAGGAAGGGCTTGAGTTTCCCTGAAATGAGCTACCCTTACCTGACCTAAAACTTACCTTACCTTGAGCAAACATGTTTTTTTGTGTCACTAGAGAGAAACCTCTTGTAAAATGATCTGTTTCAGTGTCATTTAGGTGATGTTTGTCATGTAAACAAATTGCAGAGGGTGGTTAAAAGGAGTGCTCGATAAAATCCTAAAATTCCATAGGCTGCTGTTCCCACTGTTTTGTTTCAGTGTGATATGTATCCTTGACTCTTCACCTACCTGGAATATGCACTGTGAAAATGGACTCTAGGTTTCAGTCAGTTGCTCCATCCTCCTATAATGGTCCTTTCTTGAAATGAAACTTCTTTCTATAAAGAAATCACAATCAGAGAGTGAAAACTGCAGTTATCAGAATGTCTGATTTGTACTGAATTCACTAGACCAATACATGTATTTAACATGAATGTAATTTTTGTATATAAAGAGTCAATACGTTCAGCACTTCCATTGTGAAGGTGCCAAGTCTCTGAGTGCCACATAAGTCCTGTGTGAAATGTGGCAGCTTTCAATTGTTTTTATTGAACACAAGGCATCGCGAGCACTGGAACATCTATGTTCATCATCAGAACTGTAGTACTGGTTGAAAAAGGCTTCGGAGGTTCTCTTGCACTGCTTTTCACTTCACGGAACTGCCTGTGGGCCACTTCTGTTCACCACTATATTGTTGAAATTAGTAAAAAAGCCCAAAAACATTTATAGATACCGATGGCATAAGTGAGAAAAGTCACAGAGCAAGCAGGTATCGAAACTGAACCTCTGCCTTCTGTTTCAGCCTTGAATGTCGTAAAGGTGGGTCTATGAGAAAGTTATGCAATAGACGTCACTCTGACTGCAAAACGAGTAGGTTAAAAATGAAAAGCTCACAATTGATCTCTGGTCATATCTAAATTTTTTGTCTAATTTAGGAATGTAAGTGTCATTATCATGAAATTATAAATTGCTTGTGAGAAATGAAGAACAACACTTACTTCTTTTCTGGCACAAGGAAAAGCTTCCAGTAAAACAACTGATGGTTGGTCAGAAAAGCTGTTTCTTTGGCTGGCGTTGCACAGAGCGAGGCTGCTGGAGGACAGCGAAGGGCCTGGGCTACAGCACGCCAACCTTCCAGGCTGCCACAGAGTGGGGAACATCGCTCTTGGCAGCCACGGTAAAGCGTGGGCTGAGCTTGTGCTCCTTCTCCTTTGGCCTCCTTGGTTCACTTTGCCTGATTAAACTAAACTCTCCAGCACAAAGGCTTCTTACATTTAATAGAAGTCATAAATTCTGTAAACGGTACACATACATGGACATCCAGATTAGCCTCTGGTATGCTTCTGCTCTGATGTGCTGCTGTCAAAGTCGCCCCTGAAAAATTTCAGGTGTCAGGATCTGGGAAGAGCTCACCCTGGCTGGGTGCTTCTGGAATGCCTCCAGGAGAGGTGTTCTGCCTAAGGCGTTTGACAGTCTTCCCTTATAATAAGCTTGGCTTGGTGCCTTACTTCTCTTCAGTTGTTTCTTACTTTTATAGCCAGCAGTTTTAAATTATCCAGTTACCTATTATTAACAAAAAAACTTTACTAGCTGTTTAGGGAATACCAATTTAATAATTTATACTCACCCCACATTCCATAATACTCCAAATCTGAATTTATGTTTTAGAAGAAAAGAGATTATAGTAATTAAAGCTACTTCTGTGGGATCTCTGTAAGGCTGATTTACAACAAGCTATATTTGCAGCCTGACAGTTTATATCTTTAAAGGATGAATATTGAGCTGTATTTATTCAACAATATTAGACAATTTTAGTGGCTGCACAACCCCAGGCACCCTAAAAAAAAATTAAATCCTGTGTAGGTAGAAACGTTAAGTTATCAAAGAAAAAAAGTAATGTTCTGATAGTTATTAACTGCAGTTTGAAACTTGGTCACTATGACAAGCAGCGTGGGTCTAAGCGGGCTTTAAGCAAAGCTGCCAAGCCAGTTTTTGTTGCTTTCTGTGCTGCAGTTGCTTTGTCCTTTTATAGGGCTTAGTTGGCTTTCAGGTGATGGAGCAAGTGATACTTGTATTAATTAATCTTATCCCCCAAATTATGAGTTGCTTCACAGGTGCTTACTGTAGAAACCTGATGGTTAATTTTTCCCAAGTTATAGTTTTAAACTTGAGGGTGCTTAAAACACAGTATAAATAGTTACTGCAAGGCTTTTTTAATGCTGAATTGTTAGTGAAAAATTAGCTCACATATAAAGGAAGCAACCAAACTCCTCGTGTTTATCATTTACTCATAATATGTAACATATTACAGTGAAAACTTGGCTTCATCTTGCATGTTATCAGAGTGCTGAGCAGTGGCCTAGCGAGACCTAGAACTTGATGTGTTTTGATGAAATTGGAACCAGTGTCCTGACTGTCTCCCAGTGTGCTGGGTTGATACTTCAGATTGTGGTCTCTCTTTTAAGACTTCCAGCAGTGGTCCTAGATTAATGATTTCTGGCATGATCAGTAGTCTGCACGTTGTAGGTGTGGTGTTACAGCACTTTGTTTTAACCAACCAGTTGCTGTATTAGCACTGCTGTAAGATACGTGTATTTGTAAGAGAGATGGTTTCCCCCCAGATCCCTCTACATTGACTTTTCTCCTTTCTTTCTGCAGATTTTCTCCTCTTCCCCCATAATCCTCCTTTGCCTATTGGTGGATTTATGGGGGTGAGGGGTTGATTGGGTGGGAAGCAGTTTTGCTGCTCGAAGACATGGTTATTCAGAAGTGCAGATTAGAGGTGAATGAGGATGCCGTCCTTGTGACATTTACTACTAGTTATGTTTGCGATTTGTACTCGCACTTTAACTATCTAATGCTGCTGTGCAGCGTGTCTTCTGTAGCATGAAGAGGTGGGCTGTGCTTTGGGAAGGGAAGGAGAGACTGACTTGTTATAGTACCAGTAATAAAGTATTTTGGGACTTTAGTTTACAAGGTTCAGTTCACAAAGATTTCAAATACTAATTCTGTTAGCCCAGCTGAAGAGTAGCTTCAGATCTGTCTTCTGAAACTGTCTTCACTATTCCTCAGCCTTATCCTAACTCTTTTCATTATAAATGCCTTTTGCCTGCTCTAGTGTCCTCGTTTGCTTAGAAATGGAAATACAAAATCCTACTCATCTGTTGCAGAAAAGGGTGGGCTGATTACACAACTGAAGGTTGAGGCACTGAGTTGATGAACTATAAATATTAGGTATTAGAGCTTGTACAGTGGTAGAAGCTGTGTTAATATACACAATTCATTATTTTAAAAAAACCCAGAACAAAACCAAAATTTACTGTGGGTATTAAACCAGCCATATCTCACTGAATAATTTAACTTCTTTTCTCTTTCCTCTTCCCTCAGGTCCCAAAACAGTGTTTTTCTGGGCACCTATTATGAAATGGGTAAGTGTAAGATGCCAGCTGGTGTCTGGATGTCAATCAGAGGGCAATCTGCAGCAGCCCATTGAGCAAGCAATAGTTTCCTGGCAGATATCTGAGCCTACAGAAAGATTTAATACTGAGGCTCTAATTTTTAGTATACAGGGAGGAGCAAAATTAGCCTTAATAACATATAGCACAACACGCAGGGCAAAAAACGCTTTGTGGAAAAATTGTACTCATTGCTGAAAGTTTCACAAAAGCCTTCTCTAGTGGAACACTAACTGGTGCTCGAGGTGCCAGGCATGAGCTAGCATATAATTCAAGACTCTTAAAGCATGTATTTCTTCTGAGATTTAGGAATTCGAAGACTATCTTAAGGAAGCCAATTCCTAAGCCTTAGAGTTTGAAGGCGGGTTAGAGCGTGTCAGAGTGCAAGGTAATTTTGAGAAAACAAGAGCAGCCACTGCCTAAAAAGAAAAAAGGCGATACTGTTTTGGCTTCCTGTGCAGTTCTGCTTCCCACTTGGTTACACTCCTCGGCTGTTTCTGCACAGGTGATGTACGTGCTGCCTCATAATTCAGTGTACTCCTCCGAGTTGTTGTATTGGTACAGATACAATAAATGAGCTCTAAACTCATAAAGCGGTCTGATCTCCTTGTTCAATGACAAGCAAGGATATAACCTGTTCTGCCTATTGCCACCTGGTTCCCAAGTTTGCCATTGTGAACCTCAGCTTTTTGTAGGCCGCAGGCAACGTGTTACGCTGTAAGCTGTAGCGTGGTTTCTTTGTCAGTCTAACCACGGTTAGCCTTCCAGAGGCTCTCCCAGGCAATGTGCTCGAGCCTGGGCGTACAGATACGTCTTCTGCGCAGGCTGGTGTCAACTGCTGCTCATCAAGAGAGCTAATACACAGGTGGTTTACCTTTTGTGAACACGCAGCTCTAAGCTCACAGTGAAGTTCTTCATTGAGAAATTACCATGGCTTTGCTTTTCCCCTACATGGCAAAGGCGCATTTCCTGCAGTTACTCAGCTGTGCTGAAAATCCATACCTCCGTGGCACCACGGCAGCGACATCAATCCCACAAGAGAGGCAGCACATGGAAGTCTCTGCCCTCAAGAACTGGTTTCTTGATTGGAGCCAAATGAATTAGGTTTGGGTCCAATCCATATAGGATGTCCACAAATATAGGACTTTTATATTTGTAGGGTTTGTTGTGGAGTTTTTTGTGAACTCCTGTAACAGAACATGAAACTGTATTCCCAGCAGAGGGCAGTACGGCAACGAAACAAATCACGCAGGGTGTTTGCTAGTAACGTTCTCAAGCAGATCCGCCAAGCTATTCCTCACTTCACCTGGAAGTTTTCTACTTTTACTGAAATTATATTCAAGAATTACTTTTACCTCCTCAGATGGAGTTGAGTGAAGACTATATGGTGTCACACCTACATCTTTACCGGCAATATCTTAGCCTGAGCTTTAGGAAGAAGGGCCTCATTTAGATAAGCTTCTACTTGTTGCATGAAAACCAATTTGTTTTTCAGCTGCTTTCTTAAGCAGCTGTGCTTAAATTAACCTTGTTCTTAAACTAATACAAAATTGCCACTGCCTGGGATTTTCTTGCAAGCCAGTTGCATGCCCCATAACTGTTCTTATTCCTACCATAAGGGACTAGAAGTGGATGATGCCTCAGAGTGTCTAATTACTCTGTTCATATAATGCATTGCATCTCCTGAATAATGCATGTAGAATAAGCACTGACCTATGAAGGAAGTTCCCCTTGTAAAGTGTTTGATCTGTTGCAGGAGGTCCTGGTACTGGACTGGTGCTCACTGAATTTCTCTTTACAGGGTTTGGTATGTGCTGGAATGGCTGACATGACCAGACCAGCAGAGAAGCTCAGCACAGCACAGTCTGCAGTACTAATGGCCACAGGTAAAGCTAAAGTTCCTCCATGCTTTTACACAGCACCCTCTCTGAAACCGTCTACACCTCTTTCTGAATCCTCCATCGGAACTAATCCACTTCTGTAGAAAAGGCCTAACTACAGTATGCTAGCTCTCACTGTTGCTGTTCCGTCATAATTCTAGGACAGACCTATACCTGTTATTAAATCTGTAAGAATTCTGTGATTGTATAACAGTTTTCTACATGTGTCTTAATTTGGAATTGTCCAGAGCAAGATGTTATGAGTTAGGATAAGAGTTTCATCCCTTAAGTTACAATGATACCACTCATTCCACTAAGTGACCTCTTTTGCTTCAGGTCAAGTAATTTTGAAATTAGTCCAGGATATAGTGACTTTTTTAGAACAGACTTCAGGGGATTAAACAATGGCAGGGTAATTATGCTAACGTAACTGGAAAGAATTTCCATGTGTTAAAAGAACTTGGAATCAGTGATACACGGATTGCTGCACTGCTGTCTGCTGTGAATATTCACACTGGTAGAAACCGTATTCCGTACTCAGGGTGTTCTACCAGATCTTGTCAGGGGTGGGGCTTCTGACGGCTAAAGCTGAAAATCAGAATTACAGCTGCCACCTTCTTCCCTCTCTGGACTTTATTTTGATATCTGACACAGTGCTGTACGTTTTGCGTTATATGTAAACTGTTCTTGACTGGTAGATTCTGTTACCTCTAAACTGGTGCAGCAGCATGCCACTACCCTAAAACTATGCTGGAGAATTAAGGTTTAGACTGGCGTAGAGTACAGACGATCTTTGTTTGATACCAAGACTATGATTGATCTTATTGTCTAGTTACTTTGGAAAAATGCCATACATATCCATAGCTGTCCCACTGCCGCTTGATGTGCTTCTACCTGAGAAAGACCTCATTGTAAGAAAAGCAGTTGTCTAACATGAAGTTGTAAAATTTGTTTACTTAAACTGGCCAATGCTTCTGTGCCCAAACTGAGGGGAATGTCTGAATATTTCACTTTAAAGACTTAATATCTTTAAATTTTTCTTTTCATTCAACAGGCCTTATTTGGTCAAGGTACTCTCTAGTTATTATTCCTAAAAACTGGAGTTTGTTTGCGGTGAACTTCTTTGTTGGCTGTGCTGGTGGCTCTCAACTCTTCCGAATATGGAGGTAGGTATTAAGAAGGGCTACTCCACATACTATGACTAAGCATTCACACCACCTCATCTTAACCAGGAGTTTATAAATTCTACCAGCCTTAATGCCAGTGCAACAGGCAAAAGGACATGGACAATTAACTAAATGTTGCAGAACTTTTTTGCTACATTGTTAGTTTTCCAGTTGAGTGGGAATGAAGCTTTAAATATTTTCAGTATAGCTAGAGCACATTTTAAGGCATGTTCTATGTAAGCTGTAGTTTCTGGGTCTAAGGCATTCTTTAAAAGCTGTAGATCTGACTGACAAACAGCCCAGACTTTCTCTTCCTCATAAGCTTTGCACTTCTGTCAGCTTTCAGTGTTGAATTGTGTCAGTTCCGGCTAGATCAAAGGGTTCTTAAGCAGAGCAGCATTTTGTTTATTTTAACTATTTCTTGAGGGAAAATTTGGAGTTCTCTGGCCTCAGTACTGGCCAGGAATGAGGCAAACAGCAACTAAACTATCCTATCCTTAGTTTCCACGCTCAAGTCCATTGTGATTTTAAACCTCCTCCACTGAACAGATTGTTAGGAAGACACCGTTACTGTAACTGGCGTTCTATTCTTAGTCTGTGCTTTTTTTTTTCCCCCTATAGGTATAATCAGGAGCTAAAAGCAAAACAACAAGCGCAGCTGCAGCAAGCAGATGCTTAACCCAACAGATCAAATCCAGCAACGCACAAATCCTTCCCCATGAGACCCAGCTTCACTAATTTTAATTTTTTTTCCTCTGAGAAAATGAAAGAGGAAATTTAAATGTCTAGAGAGCAAGTGTTTTCTAAGTGCAAATAACAAAGTGTCTTCATACATTTAAATAAAGTGCAACGTTTTAAATTGAAGTGAAGTTGTATGTCTTACGTAGTCTCCTTAAAAGAAACTGATTGTGGATCGTGCCTTGAATGAGTTGCTGGGCTGCACCTTACCTGACTCTGCTGAACAGTGCAGGGAGTGACACGGTCCTGGTTACGGTCAGCCACAGTCTCTGACTGAAGTAACCTTCCTTTTGGCTCCCCATCAGACCTGGGTGGGGTTTTGTGATACTCTCAATAACCAACAACAGTAGCATCTGCGTTTCATTCCCTGATGCTCTTCCCTGGTAGTGTAAGGATATTCTTTTCAGCTTCAGCTGTGTATGTCTTCGTTTGTTTCCCAGGCACTACCATCTTTATCAAGGGGAGGGCAAACTAGTATGTGCCGCTGGTGTTTTAGCTTGCGTCATCCTTTACAACTAGAGGCAGAAGATGGGTGCATTTAAGTACCTGGTTCTTGGGAATGTGAAAAATGACCAGCCAAAACTTCTATTACTCACTTTCCACCCCCTCCTTAGGTACATACAGATTTCCTGTGAAGGTGTGCACTCGGGAAACATGTCAGTTCTCCAAAGCTTTGGTGGCAGTGGTCTGCTTCCATCAGTGGCATGTTTGTGAATAAACACTGAAGCTTTCCCTGAAAATCAACATTTCTCCCTACTTACTCTCCTGTAAAGAGGAAAAATGTGCCACTGTGAAACAGCTTCCGAGCAAAGGCTTTACATTACACTGCAAAAGCTCATTGGTTTCTGAGAAGTACCAGGCAATTGTGCTCAGAGCATGGCATCAATGCGCTTCCCTGGCAGGTTCTCTGAGACCTCTTCCACCAAAGCTAGGAGTCAGTACCAGAGCTCAGAAATTAATATCCAGGAGAAAAAGGTAACTGAGACAGAGTAGCTTCTTCAGGATTCAGCTTTCAGGAAAATGAAGGCCTTGAAATACTGGAGTTTTGCAAAGCCCTATTATTAAGTCTCTCTCTGCTGCTACTTTCCCCCAATCCCATCTGAGTTATCACTCCAGCATGGCAATAGCGGAGAGGAAAGGAAATTGTTCTGTAGTTACAAGAGCTACAGCACCTTGTTGTGATGCCCACTCCTTTCTCACCCTATGTATAACATTATATTATCCTGTACAAAGTATTTGTGCAGGATAGTTTAAGGAAAACATTTTCCATTCTTACAAGACATGCATCTGATAGTTGGTCAGTTCCCCTTTTTCAGACACTGTCCTGCCATGAAGCTACTTCTCTCCCATGTGTATTCTGCTACAGTTTCACTTGGATTTCTTCATTCTAGCTTAAGTGGTAATACAGGGTATGAATTCAAACGGTGAACTCTCCAGCTGTGTTGTTCGCTGAGCTGACAGAGACTGCAGTGACTGAAGAATATTCCCAGAAAGAGAGGTGGTGTATTTCAGGCCTCCTCCCTTCCCAGTCACTAACCAGAAAAGACTCATCCAGCAAACCAGTAGTGGGAAAAAAAAAAACCACAAGTGTATTAAAATATTCACAAGATTACAATAGAAAACATGAAAGTCCATTCAAGAAAAAATATCCAGGATAACTGTTTCCAGATGAGTCTGTAAAAGCAAAAGCACTAACTGTTGGTACACTGGCTCTTCATGTCATCGGGCCATGCAATGCATATCTAGCTCCCTCACACAGATTATACACCTGTCTTACAGGTGTTTGTTCTCTTGCATACCTCCAAGACAGAGGTTTACAAAAGAAAAGTATCCAGTCTATGTTTCCAATTACACTTACCACATAAAAACAGCTGGCATTGCAGGGAGACAGAAGAGATTGCACAGCACACTGATCTCCAAAGGCATTGAACTTCAACATTTTAGAGTGCAAAAATACCTTTAAATGAAAAGGCTTAT